GACTTTGAATAATGGGAGAGTCTAGCGCAAGAATACTGACGCACGCACACACATCACACACGGTTCAAGGATAAGTCTTTTGCTCCCAAGCTTAATGTAACGCCTCATCACGGCAGTTGTGCAGAGATTTGTCCATGGCGTGCACGTCGAGCATAGCGGCTGTCAACTACCTCACTGCAGGTGCTCGAAGTGAGCCCGAGGCCACCAGGCGTTGCTGCGCCATTCCAGCATGTCAATCATAGCGGATCGAACTTGGTCTGAGTACAAGCGCGTGCCGCCAGATCGAAGTAACACCAAAGTTCTCAGTCGTGCTTCAAAGCTGTTCATTAACTCCACACCAGTCGGCATATCAGCGTCCAAAGTTCGCCCGACTAATGTCAGAAGCTTCAGCACACATTCGATCATGTGCTCATGGGGTGGATCCCCGTCGCCTCTTCTGGGGCCTATCAGGTCATGAACTATCTGCCCAATCACCTTCATTGCCAAGAGGCGTTCCAAGAACAGATGCCCCAAAAAACTGACGCATGCCAGCATCCTGTGTTTCCTTCTAGTGAGCTCCGCTTGCAAGGTCTCAGCTCGCGGGAACTTGGCCTTGTCCAGTTGTGATGCTTCAAATGTGATTGGCATGCTCTCAAACTCCTCCTGGCAAATGGGCACCAGCGCACGGATGAAAGACAACGGCTTCTGACTCTCGTTTTCAGGCCGAAACTCTGGGTAGCGCTCCCTGAAACCAACAGCGATGCGCGCACAGGTTTCGCCATGAGCAGGCTCTTCTATTGCCTTCTTGAATACGGATCGGAGGATGCACTTCAACTCTTCACCATTATGCAGCTCAATGCCCAAAAGATCATCCATGATCTTTCTGAAGCCTGGGCAATTGACTGGAGTAATCTTGTCCAACAAAGCTTGGGCATGGTGCCTAACCTTGATGTTGTAGCCGGCCACGGCTTGAAGGCTCTCTCCCTGCCGCACCATCTGCCATTCGCCCATGACTGTGCCATCCTCTCGGACGAAATGCCTTATGCCGACTTCCAGCTCATCCTCAGCTGCCTCCTTCACCTGGGAAGGTCACAGAATCGTCTAGGAAGGTTAAAGAGACCAAAGACTCAGGATGTGCAGGGCACGTAGGGACAGTGTTGGGGCTTCACAAGTTTTCTCTATGCGCCTCCTTCAGCATGGTCTCAGGCTGAATGGGCAGCTGGGCTGTCTTGCCACTTAACAATGCCACCTGCAGCATTTCATTCGCCGCCACCATGTGCGCGACAGTCTAGTCTAAAAGTGACTCTAGAAAGCGCTTTGATGGCATTCGCCTGAAAGTGATTCATGACCTGCATTGAGCCCTATGTAAGCCCAGTAGATTTCTGTAAAGGCTCTGGCATTAAGTTTTAAATCATCAGCTCAAGAATCAGGCACCCAGCACTTGAGTGCAAGCATGTCGCATGTTTGCTTGGGATCACAACACCTTGGCGCGGACCCCGAAACCAATGGGAAACCAATGACATAAGGTCGGTGCAAGCTTCAAGAGAGCGAGGTTTTCCCAAACTCTCATTTTGGCGCTTGTTCCGGTTTGGTGCTTCAGCTGAAGTCCAAGGCACTTAGCCTTCAACTGACAACACAGGCGATGTGGATTTGCTGCGTATGTGCAAGCAGGGCATGTGAGAAAAACACCAATCCTTGTAAAAGTGAACCCTTGCATTCGTGAGCATCAAACTTGTTAAAGGACTTTACGGGTGTTTCTCAGAGCGGGCGGGTAATCTCAGAAAGAATTAAGGATACATGATATATGTTCCCGTTCCTGGGGATCCTATCCCCCCCCACCATGGTCTGGTACGCCCCTCCTCAGCCTAAACCTTTCCAAAGTGCCAACAGTCAAAGGGATGGGGCTGCTCCGGGTCGCGATCCTCGTAACTGTCATCGTTTTTGACGCCTGAAAGCTGCCATCCTTGTAGCTGTCCTCACTTTTAACTCCTCTTGCTTTCGTCGCGTCTCACAAACCCCAACAGTTACAGGGATGGGGCCCTCTGGTGTCGCGATGACTTTTGGACCTCCGTGCGGTTTTGGCGTCTGAAAAGTGCCAACAGTCACAGGGAACGGGCCTCCCGGGGTCGCGATCCTTGTAACTGTCGTCACTCTTAGACCTTTGGCGGTTTGAGCCTATAGCTCTACTTTGGCTCTATCGTAAGCTGGCACTACATCCCAGGAACCTCCAAATGAACATGTGGCTAACATCCTTAGAAGAATCAAAGTGACAACATTCGAAGTAGTATGGGATATGAAGCAGGATCATCTACGAATACCCCCGCCCCCTAATATACCACCAGAACCTGGATCATATACGGGGTATACCCTTATTATGGGGCGTACCACCCCAGTCCACTTTACCTGTTCCTCTTTGGGGATTATGTACGGTCCGTTCTGACAAACTCCCATACCTTTTCTCAGAGCCATCTCTCCAAGTTCCTGACAATGACTCCTAGACCTGCTTAAAGGATGCAAAAGATTAAACCTGCCAGTGATCCCCTAGCTGCCCCAACAGGGTCATTGGGTCATGTTGGGGGGCTTTGGGTCCTTCTAGGGGCTGGGATACACCCTACGTGCAGCCCGCAGCCCATGTGTTGGAGTTTATTCGTTTCGGGTCTTGGCCACCAGGCGGCTTCTGGAAATTGTCTGTAGCTGTCAGCTTTGCTTTTGGCGACAAGACTCAATGGCCCTCAAGTACTTGCGTTTGCACTTTGTAATAGAATCGAGGTATGGATTAGGCTTACCTTTGGTTATAGTAGTCCCTATATAACCCATTCTCGTAGTTTCCATCTTATCTTTCATTCCTTCATTCGCAGCTAACCAAAGGTAAGTAGGTGGGACCTGAGGAGTCCTTTGCCAAATCCTGCCAGGTAAGTGGCCTACTGGCGAGCCCAGATGGTCCAAGTACCCAATGGTTAGGTACTTGGGTTTTGGGTAATAGTAATTATAGTAAAGGTTTTGGGTAAGCATATGATTATTGGTTACTTGCACTCTTAGGGGAGTTTTTGACATCAGGACAAGACACTCGAGCCCTTGAGGGTTGCATGTTTCAAGCTGGCCTGGGGACATCTACACTACTTCAAGGCCTGGGAATGCGACGATGCGTATTTCAGCTAGCAGTGTGCAGCACCTACCTTTCCATACGACCTTAAGCCTAAACGTCGGCACGAAACCCTAGACTGGGTATAGAGCTTAGAGCAATCACAACAAGTCCCTTAGCGAAAAGGTTTGTTGAGTTTCGGTCTTGGGCTCCAAGCAATGTATTTTATACCCCAAAATGCACTGCATCCACTACTGGCATGAAACATAAAGATTTGCCTTAAGTAGCTACATTATGAACCCTATAGTATAGATGGTAGTTCTAAAACATGAGCCACTAAGGAATGAGCTAGGCTGCACGGGCCCAAGGGGAAACCTTTAGCGGTGGCCACATAGGTACTTTCCAGCTAACTGTCCCGCTATAGGCCCTGAACCCTTGCCGTGTGATGCTATCATCCTGACTATGCGAAGAGGACCCTAATTTCTGAAAACCCGCAAACAAGATTTTCTCAAAATGGTCCCACCTACACAATGCCTGATACGGAACCCCCCTTATAACCCCAATATATCCCCGGGGGCCATGCCACTGGAGTGGCTGCGTGTTGCGGCCACAAAAAACTTCCGCCCAAATTCCAGAGTTAAGGGTCCAGGCTATAGAGTTGAGGTGTAGGCTTCAGGGTCTACGCTCTAGGGTTTAGGGCTTCTTGGGAAACACGTTCTCTGGCTCGGCCCCTACGTCCAATCCTCAAATAGAAGACTTTAACTTCAAAAGTAGGACCCGGGCGTCATAATGAGGTCCTAGTGGTGGTGTTGGGGTTCCGAAAAATCATCCCATTCAACATAATTGTATGGAGCCAGCTTGACTCTAAACCCTAAACGCCGAGAACCCTGAACCCTAAATCCTAAACCGAGAACCCTGAACCCTAAATCCTAAACCTAAACCCCTAAGCCACTCAACCCTAAACCCTAAATCCTAAGCCCAAACCCATAAACCCTAAGCCCTGAATCCTAAACCCCAAACCCCTGAACCCAAGACCAGGATGCCAGCCGGGATCCTTGGCAACCCTTGGGTCTGAGTATCGAATAGTGCACCCCTTAGGATTTTGTTGGGGATACTTACTGGTTCTTCGCAGAGAATAAGCGAACATAGTAAATAGGGGCTATCTAGGGATTATATTCCCCTTTTCTCTACTAAGAACCAATAAGAGAATTCTAGTACGGGTTTAGGGCAAGTATATGACCATTAGGTATTCGCACTCTCAGGGCAAAATCGGTATTGCTTTTCGACTCCAAGGTTCAAGGTAGGTATTGCTTGTACAAAAGATCTCCAGGGTGACCTAAACAGGAAGAAACAGGAATTCCTGTGTAAAAGACGCGCGGTTGTGTAGGAAACCCAGGACAGCGAAAGGGGGATGAAAGGAAATTGTGTGCCAGCAAGACAAACCCAGCAGCAATGCCTTGTTGATGTTTTATGGCGGTCCCTTCATTGAAAACCCATCTTCGTCATGAGCGCTGGGCAACTTGCGACCCTAGAACAATGGCACACACCACTTCTGGGGCGTAGCGAAAATGGAAGCCTCAACAACTAGGGTGCTGGAGGCAATGAGTGGCCGTGCTATTGCAAGCTACGCAAGGCGTCCCAGATATCACCGTAGTTGAGCATTGTAAAGGCACGAGTCCCCCGCCCCACAGGTAGGGCACCTCGATCATCTTACAATGCGTGCTCGGCGCGATGCTCCCACCGCATTGGAGGCTGCCAATTGTTCCTGCGCCAATCCAGCAGGTCATGGATGGCATTGCGAATTTGGCTAGAAAAAACGCGCTTGCCTTCCGCGCGAAGCCTGGCAAGATCGCGCAGCCGCGCTGCACACGCGTTCATCACATTCACACCGTGTGGCACGCAGTCGTCCAGAGTCTGCCCAACCAATGTCAATAGCTCCACAACACACTCGATCAAGTGCTCCTCGGGTGGAGACTGGTCGTCTTCTCTAGTTCCTATCAGATCATTCGTGGCTTGCTCAATGACCTTCATGGGCAAAAGCCGCTGTAAGAACAGGTGGCCGGCGAAAGCCATGCACGCAAGCATCATATCCTTCTGACTCTTAAGCTCCGCTTGCAAGGCCTCCGAACTCAGAGACTTGGTCCCATCCTCTCGCAAAGCCTCAAAGGCTGCCGCCATGCTCTCGAACTCCTCCTGGCAAATGGTGAGCAGCGCACGGGTGAAAGACAACGGCTTCTGACTGTCGCTTTCGGGTGGGAACTCAGGATAGCATCCCTTCAACGTACCAGCCAGCCGCGCGCAGGTTTCGACACAGGAGGGCTCTGCTATGGCTTTTTTGAAGATGACTTGGACAATGCACTTCAACTCCTCGGCATTTTGCAGCTGAATGCCTGCCAGGTCATTCGTGATGTTTCTGAAGCCTCTGCGGTTCACGGAAACAATCTTGTCCACCAAGACTTGGGCGTCGCGCCTGATCCTGAGGTGGTAGCCGGCCACAGCCTGAAGCGTCTCGCCCTCGTGCAAATCCACTTTCGCGATGGTCCATGCCATGTGTGCCTCACCCATGACTGTGCCATCCTCACGGACGAAGTGCCTAATGCCAACTTCCAGCTCGTTCTCAGCTGCCTCCTTGACCTTGGATTGGCTTAGAATAATCTGCCTTTTTCGGGGCCCCCAATAATGACTTGAAGACCTTGGCAGATATCACTAGAAGCAGAAATCTTTCACAACCAGCCACCTCCTTGAAGGTGGTCTCGCGCTGCACTGCAAGCTGAATCTTCCGGCCACTCAGCAAGGCCACCTGATAGTTTCCCAAAGTAGGAGGACTCCAATATAGCCCCCCAACTACTATAATCCTTATTATGGGGAATACTATAATCATATTATGGGGACACCCCCAAAACTACCCCTTAAGTTTGGAAAAGTGCGACCTGCAGCAGTTCGCCATCGCCAGGGCATCCACCCAGGTCCGCTGCCATCTGGCTGGAATCCGGGCTTCTGATGTACACTTTCGTTTCGGTGCTGTCATCTGCTACTGCCCCTAAACCCCTACCTGGACCCCAAGAGTATGTAGAATAATGGCCTTAGGGGCTATATTTAAGTAATTTGGACTATCATTTTACCTACTTTTGGGGTTCAGGTAAACCCTAAACCCTAAACGCTAGAAATAACTCGTCTATGCGAATCTCCGTGACTGAAATATCCCTGTAGATACGGCATCAGCAGACCAATCCTGAACTGCTTGAACCTCCTAAGGCTGAGGGTCCATGTCCCCAATAATTGGGTACTTGGGATTTGGGCAAGTATAGGATTACTGGGTACTTGGACCACTAGGGTAATTCCAGGTCCTGAAGCACGAAACCCAAGCAACTCTGAGTCCAAACTCTCCCAACCCCTCCTAAAACATACCTATACCTTAGGTGGACCCCCCACCCAGTAATAGTGACAAGAAGGAATAATAGGGATTATATTAGGGTCCTCTTATATTCTTATCATACCACTATTACAGGGTGGGGAGTCCTCCTAACCTATACCCTTCATTTGAGAGGTGCAGACCAGATTGTAGATCACTTGCTCAACTTTAACATGACTAGACTACCATAAGGGTCCAAGTACCCAATAATCATGTACTTGCCCCCAACCTGTACTACAATTACTATTACCCAAATCCCAAATACCCAACTATTGTGGACATGGACCCTTAGGGCTGGAGAAGTTCTTGAACCGAAGTACCCTGGAGCTTTGGCTTGGGATGAGGACATGGGGTCGTGTAGGATTCCTTGAGGGTTTGGAATTGCGGGTTTCGGGTTCTGGGTTTAGGGATTTGGTAGTTTTTCTAAATAGGGGGACCCCAATATACACCCCAAAACATTATAGTCCTTATTGTGGGGGGCCCCCTAAAAATTACCAACAATTTGGGGAAATCCCCATTTACAGTAACAGTCAAGGCTCTTGAGTGGCCCGAAGGTCTACAGCAGAAGGTATGGTTTCATTGTTCTCAGGCTGGCCCAGGGCAGGGGGGGTTTAGGGTTTAGGGGTTTAGGGTTTAGGGGTTTAAGGGCTTAGGGTTTAAGGGTTTAGGGTTTAAGGGTTTAGGGTTTAAGGGTTTAGGGTTGAATTTTGGGATCTCGGAGACCCCATCCTGAAGGTGCAGGGGCTTGGACGACGTCTCTTCCCTTGACTGAGCGTTTCATGTGGAAAGCTTGGAAAACTATGCTCCTGTTGGAATCCCTATAGATTAACTAGGGTCCGCAGTGTAGAAGCGACCCAAAAAAAAGGACCATTGTCTTGACAGCTTACCATACATCTGCAGGAATGCTGCAAAAGCATGATGGGAAAGATCCTATGTGTTACCTGCTCTTCGCAAAATGACTAGTATGGAAGAATAATTTCCCCAACGAACTTTAGACCAACGCATATATACACCTCCCAATCCTCCATAATCCCTAAAAGCCCCTATAGAACCTCGGTCTCCATTTCGTTTCCCATGTTCTGTCCATTTCGCGCTCCACTATTGGGGTAATATACCTCAACGCCCTAAGCCCCAACCCTGAGAGCTTTGTGATCTAGGCCTAGGTATATATAGGATTCAGGGCTGGTCATACACGGGCATATTGAAGTATAAGGGGTATGTAGGGGTGTATAGGGTTGTAGTGGAGAATCCAAGGGGCAATAACTTCGAGGATGAAAGGGGGAAAACTGCAATAAGAATACGACTGCCAGCTATACGAGGCTGACCATAACTGGGGGTGTTTCCCTACCTACTCATGGAATGGCCTCCTCCGACCTGGTCAACGATGCAGGTTCCCCGAAAACAGGGGTGCCATGGTCTAAATTCCTAGTATCCCCCTCAATAAACCTTATAGGGATATATGAGCTATAGTCTAAACTCCTAGCATCCCCCTTAATACGCCTTTATAGTAGCCCCCTCTCTATAATCCCTTAGATAATCCGCTTCAAGGAGTTTAGAGTCTAGCTCATCTAGGAGGTACCACCCAGAGGCTCCCTACTTCTCATGGATTCCTGGACTTGAAATAATCCACCTTTAAGTAGCTAGAATAGGGTTTAGGGTTAAGGGTTTAGGGTTTAGGGTTCCTGGACTTATAATAATCCCCCTTTAAGTAGCTAGAATATGGAACTGCCCAATATCAGAATAAGGTCTCCATATACCATGTTTTACCTACTTAGTGGAGAGTATATGTTTCTAGTGCATTGGCTTGCTTGACTCGTCTGTGGAAAACAGGCCCACAGGAGTTAGAGCAAGTCCAACTGAAGATGGTTAAGTTGTGGAGTTGGCATTCAAGGAGAGCAAGATCTGAAGTCAGTGATACATGAGCCCTTATGTCATCGCCACAGCCTCGTCTGTATTACTGTATCATAGAGCCCCTTTACACCAAAGCACGTCGGCAACCTCTTGATGCTGCTGAATCTTGCTCCTATCCCCCTAGCTGTACCCGAAAAAAATATTGAGGATCCTTAGCTAACGTCAATCCAGGAGTAGTCCTGTGCTGCGACCAAAACCAGATGGGGCAGCAAGCAGCCCGTGCGCATGCCATTCAAGGCCATGGAAGTTTACTGGGTCTGAGGTTTGTCAACTATTCCAGGGGAATGGAAAGTTGACACTGGGGCTTAGTTTACATTATGGCTATAGTGCCCACGAGAGGTTCAAGGTTGACTAGTACACTAAATAGTTTACACTTAGCAGGGCCCACCTTCATCTTGAGATCCATGTCGCAGGTGACGGGGCTGGACGACTTGGGATTTGAGATTCAGCGTGCAGGCTTCTTGAAGGATCTACGGCTGCCTGACCGGAGAATACAGATGCCTTGGGCCGAGTCCTCCTGAGTTCAATATGTTTAAAGTCTAAAGCGCTAAGGCTGCAAGGGCAGAGGACAAAGCTAAACATCTCGGCGCACAAAATCCCAAGCTATTCAAGCGGCTCATCTCCAACCCTGCGTTCCCCTCAGCCATCTGTTGGAAAATTGCGCGGCCTGAAGAACATGCATGGGCTTGCTATGCGTTGGCTGGGCTCTACTACCCTCACACGTAGGCAGCAATCTAAGGTTGTGTTTTGTTGCGCAGTCGCTCTGCCTTGCCAGCAGCTCCCACATGCCAAGCTCGAGCCCACGAGGTGAGCAAGGGCAGAGCTTTAACATTGCGTGTCAAGGGACATCTGGGCTTTCGGATCAATAAAAAACATTGCAGAATTAGGGATAATGGTGATGATATTAGGGTCCTATCATGCCACTATTACAGGGAGGGGGGGGCCTTCTAACCTATAGCGAGCGTCCGCCGACGACGACGACTACTACTACTCTTGCTCCCACTCTTACTCTTCCGTATTACTATTATTATTATTACTACTACTACTACTGCTACTACGACTACCAGAACCAGCACCAGCACCAGCACCAGCACCTGCTCCTGCGCCTGCTCCAGCACCACCACCACGAGTATTACTATTTCAGGGCTCCTTGCACGCGCCTAACAAGATCCCGGGCCTTAGGGCCACAGTTAGAATTACTCACAGGAGGATTCCATAGAGGAAAATGGACACACTACAATATTACAATATAATATATATATAATGTAATGGCAAAAGTCGGGGAGTTGGGATTGGGATGCGGGTGGCCTAGCGTCAAAAGCCCTGTAGCCGGCCAAATGAGGGCAAATGATCTGAAGCTGGCCAGAGAGGGCTCAACACTGAGTAGTAGTAGTAGTAGTAGTAGTAGTAATAGTAGGCTAGTAGTAGTAGTAGTAGTAGTAGTACTACTACTACTACTACTAGTAGTAGTAGTAACAGTTCTGTGAGTAGTAAGATGAAGAATAACAAAGGTTAAACTGATAATAATATTGTAATCATAGCAATAGACGACCTCTGAGGCTCTGGCATGGAGCCTTGAAGCATTACTGGGAGCTGCCCGAACAAATAGAAACACGATCAGCAGAATTCAATGCTCATATGAGCTGTAAACTCTTCAAAAACGGGTTAAATGGGGGATACTAGGAGTTTAGACTAAAACTCATATTGCCATCAAGCAACAATGGGGACCTGCGTTACATGTCTTTTTTTGCGGCCGCCGCTGAACGACTCCGTGAACACGCACGCCCTCGCTTGTGTGTTCGGATCGGGCACTGGCTTGGGATTGGTGTAGGGCCTGCAGGGGTTGAGGAGCCCGACTAGGGAATGTATTCCATAGTGCGGGTTTATAGTATAGATACGGACGTATTCGTGTGTGCCTGTACTTATGATAGCAAAAGACAGCTATATAGCGTGCAAGTATGGTACGCCACCCACGTGGGGAAAGCTGCAAAAGGTAACTGTTGTCCCCACAACCGGCCAAAACCTAATCCCAAGGCTGTAGCAGCGGTGAAAGGCGCTAAGCCCTACTGCGGAGCAGGGTGATCTTTCAAGCCCGTCACGAACTCGGGAAGAGATGACCACGTCTGCCTGAAATTCTGGCAAAGATCGATTCTTCCTCCATGCGTGATCAACATGTATTTCTCCTGGCTCTGTTACTACTGAAAGCACGACAGTGGCAGGAGGAGGAGGAGGAGGCTTGCCGTTCTGAAAAAGGAGTTGAGGTTTGGGAACAGAAAGGCTGCCTGGATCCCAAACCGCGAACCCTAAACACTACGTGCAAGCAGGGCACGGCGGTTCGCACGTGAAGCCAAAGCGTTCGTTCTCGGCGGGGTTGCCGAGGCATTCTTTGTAGCCCATGGCACCTGGGCCGCATTTTCTGCTCCCTTATTGAGAAGTTATGACTGCCTATTCCTTATCGGGCTTATGTCCAACAGTGACTGCCAAAAACGTATCATCTGCGAAACTGTGATTTGCAGTGGAAACCAAGCGTACAAGCGTCTCCTGGGAGGTTCAGAAGATACTGCTTGCTGTCAGAGCAATGTACTAGACGGATGACAGGCCTTTTGACAAGTGGAACATAACAAGATGTCAGCAGGGCGTCCTTTCGACATGCCG